CAGAGTGCTTATTTCCCAAAAATTCTATATCTATGTAATTGAAATTGAAATTCCTTTTGCTTCAAGTCATACACTGGCAACTATTTCAAGAACATAGGGTGGGGCCATCGATCACTAATAGTTTTTTATTAGTGATCGATGGGTGGGGCTCAAAAAATGTACCTTTTGAAAAAAAGTCGCGGCCATCTGTTTACCCCTAAATTTTAGTATCTTTTAAGAGTTTTTTTTTAATCGAATTTTAGTTGCTTCATTAAAATGAAGACATCAAAAACAGATAGTTGCAAATGGAATACATAAATCTTCAATTTACGTAATATTTTAGTTTATAAAACTTTCAATCTTTTATTTGCTCCATACAAAACTTAAATGTCCCAGGGCTGTCCGCCGACAATGTTTTAATTTTTTTTATTACGCCTTTATTGATGTTTCTTTTAACCTTTATTGTTAGAATAGGAATTAATTTATAGTAGTTTGGCTGAAATTCTCGCAAAATCTTACAATTTCTTGCGAAATCACAAATTTAAGCAAGTGTCCCTAATAATTTTCTAGTGCGTTACGAGTAATGTGTACCACGATAACTTTCGTAGTTTAGTGCTAATCACATTAGAACTTGTTTTGTAGGGTGGCAACACCTTATAACAACATTTTTCAAGTGAGGGTATTTGCAGTGTCCCTTTTGTTCATCGAAAATATTGGATATTAAACACAGAATTTTCAATTTATGTGTTTACCTTTCATTTTACGAATCACATATACTAAATAAATACATATATATACCACCTGTAATATATATGTGTAAGTGTATATGTATTTATAGTGGTATTTAGTTACATCTATGTTTACATGGATATATGTTTTTATTATCTTTACTTTATGTTAAGTATATTAATATTATAAAATTTTATTATGAGAGTGCACACTAGATCAGCTTCTCTTTTAATTTGTCTAGTATCAGGCCTGCTGGAAGAAATTTCAATATGAAATAAGCAGTGCCTTTGTACAAAATATCTTTTTTTTTCTTCATTGTAACATTATTTTGTGTGTACATAAATTGTTAAATAAATAAATAAATACCTGTTGAAATCTCATTTTAAGGATTTCTTTCTAAAATTACATTGAATTTGCGGCTACTTTAATCATATAAACACAAGAATCTTCTCGCGTGTTCGGTCTGGTGTGTTATGTTGTGTTGCATGGTGTGTTACATAACACACTGGATAGCATTAAGCTTAGGTTACATTGCCTTTAACCGACTGCGATAGAGCCCAAAAGCGGGTATACAATTTTTGCTTGAATGTGAATAAACCTGCATATTATATAATTATAATAGTGTCTTCTGTTCTGTCTCTATAGAAGCACCCCAAATAAATCGAATCAAAAAAAAATGTACACAGATCTATAAAGAGAAAAATAAAGTTACTTGAATACGACAATTTTTTTATAGAAAAGTTACCACTGAAACCAATTTATAATAATGAGTAAGAAAAAGGTGCTCCATGCACCATCCACCATGCTTAGCAAATTTTCTTCTTTATACAATCCATGTTTATAGAAGAAAATTTGCTAAATATTTTCCTTGAAGAACCTTTGAAAACTAATAAAAATATTGAAAAAAAAAAGTTCTGAAGAATATAGTTTCGAGTGATTAGTCTTAATGGAGAAATACTTTATATTCCCTATTTTGATATAACTTTAAAATTTCTAACATTAACATGGAATAAAGTTTCTCCTTAGGTTAAATAAAACGTTACAATTTCAGTGATTTTTATTTCCATTTGGGTATGTGTCAGGACATAAACAACTAAGAATTAATGCCAATATTTGTAATATTATTTGTACTCGTAAATATGGTAAGATTTTTAATAAGTTCTGGTACAATATAGTCCTGCCTTTACAGAGTTCTAGCGTTATACATAACTTCCAGTGTGTTCCTTAAGAGTTTGTGTTATTCTTTCTAGAGCGTTATGGTACAATTTTTTTGAGCCCCACCCTTATACCAGACTACCGATCCGTCCCGGCTTGGCACGGGTGATTTGTAGATCTCGACACCGCCATCTACCGGGGCCAATTGTAAAACTAAACCATTCTCGAATCTACTTAATCACACACACAAAATTTCGTAAAACTCGGTCTAGCAGTTTAGGATGGAAGTAGTGTAGTTGTACCACTTCTAGACCACCTGAGTCAGACGTGGTTCAACGACGTTCGTCGACGCCCGATCCTAAAAAAAAAAAAAAAAAAAAAAAGGTTTTGGCATGCTCTGATCACGAATCCGCGGTCCATTTTTGTGTAGAATGCACGGTTCCGGAGATGTGTAGATCAATTAGCTAATATCTAATTGATATCCGGTAAGGGCCTCCACCGTCATTAGCGTCCCATTGTTGTTCCTATTTCTATTGTTCTATTGTTCATTAATCACCTTCATTGCAGCGTGTGCGTCGACTATATCAGTGCTATTGTGTTATAGTTCTTTGTTTATACAACGCTAATCTGAATCATCAATAAAACACATTACATAATTTTGTTACAATTTTTATTTATAAAATACAAAATCTTATTAATTATTATCTATAAAATAGGAGCGAAACATCTCATCCACTAAAATATCGTTGTACAATGTGTTCCTTGTAAATATACTCGTAAAACTATGTATTGAACATCCTTGAAACTTATATAGCAAATACATTAAGCAATATTCGCCACAAACTGAAGTCCACTCATTCTGAATCCTATCAACATTCCAGTTCCATCTTTTACAATTCCTTTTTAAAAACTCTAGATGATATCGTACAGGTGATCGTCCATATGAATCAAAATATTGACCGACGTCATTCGTATCGATATATAAAGCTACCCAATGTGACCCTGGTTTATCATCTGTATCCAAATTACATATTATATACGTTGGTACGTGGGTATACATAGGCAGTCTATTAGCTGCATAAACATTATTTTCTAGACTGGGGTGAATCTTTTTCAGATGTTGTTGTACATCTAGTGTATCCATGATATTACTGCTATTAGTAGATTATTACAGTACCTAGCTACTCAATGAATAACATAGGAATGGTCAATTATAGTGATTTCTACATATTAAATTCCATTTTTGTGTTATACAAATCGTACTTGAGTCATTGATCACCAAACAAAACACAATACGAAGAAATGTTGAGATAGGCAACGGAAATGTGAGATAAACTGATATGTTTCTAAATATTAAATTGCATTTTTGTGTTATACAAATCGTACTTGAGTCATTGATCACCAAACAAAACACAATACGAAGAAATGTTGAGATAGGCAACGGAAATGTGAGATAAACTCGTTGACGCATAAAGTAATTATCAACTCATTACGGAAATACTTTAGATTAGAATTTTTACGTACTGGTGGTATATAAGACCAACAAACGCAGTCATCGAGTTAGTGTACGGTCGTTTGGCTACAGTGGATCTATCAATAGTACATTTTGTGTTACTTCAATACACCAAAGGCTATGGATGTAAGTGTTTATTCTATTGACTAAATTACTTTTTTTCTGTTATTTTCATGTGTGTGTATTATTTTATTTAAATATTGTGTATGTATATGATTAAGCCGTGGTAACTCAGATGGTTAGCGCTAGCTGTAAATTTCACAGTACGCGACCCGGGTTCGATCCCCGCCAGCACCAATTAAATTGTTAATAGCAATTTTAAGTGCTTATTACCACGTGCTTGGTGGTGAAGGAAAACATCGTGAGGAAACCTGCATGTCTGAGAAAATTTCGAAGGCATGTGAAGTTCGCCAACACACATTGAGGGAGCGCGGCGGACATTTCCTTGCTCTAAAACCCTCTCAGAAATGAGAGGAGGCCTATGTTCAGCAGTGGACTTTAATAGGCTGTAACTTTAACTTTTTTAACTTTTATGATTAAGTGTTAACAAATTGATATTAACATGATAACTGTGTTGTTGCAGAAATCATTGAGCTTCGATGAAGAAACCTATAAACAGTATTACTACTCGCCACTCTCCCCTCAAGAAGAGAGTGATAACCTCGTCATTAATAATAACACATGCGATGGTGGAAAAAGAAAATCGCAATCGATTGATCATTTTTTTGAAGCTGAATCAAAAATAAAAAAGAGGAAGCTGTTATCATCAACCGTAGCACGAGCCGCTAGAGATGGTGTATCATACATTTCTACTAATTCTGACGACGGAGACCAAGCGACGCATCTCATCAAAATTGAAATGTACGATATGAAGAAGCTATCCAAGATTCCAACTACTGATCATTGGAAACATGCTTCCACGAGAATTAAATATTACGTAAAGACTAATAAGGATAGCATCTACGACAACACAAACGCCCTCGTATACAATATAACAAAGACAATAGCAGAAAGTGAAAAAGTTAAAAAATACTTTTTTAACAATGACAGTCATTAGCTAATCATTAGTGAATGTGATTCTGTTTACTTCAATTACAGGAAGACAAGAGCGGAAGGAAGAGATGAGTGTGGCATACGTGTACAAAACACATCATTGAATAACAAAACTACAACACTGAGTGGAGAAGAAAACGAGAAGAGTATGCAGTACTCAAGAGCTGAATATCCATTCTTCAGTTCAAAATCTAGCCGTTTGCTTAGTTTCGAAAACTGGCCTCTAGTTATGCGACAGAAACCTGAAGATCTTGCAGAAGCTGGTTTCTTTTATACTGGCCATGCAGACGGGACCAAGTGTTTCCATTGTGGTGGTGGTTTAAAAGATTGGGAAGATGATGATGATCCTTGGCAGCAGCATGTTCAGTGGTTTAGTCAGTGTGCTTATGTAAAATTTCAACTCGAACAGTGTTTTGTATTAGATTAAATAGAAGATTTATAAAGAAATAAAAAAAAAATATATTGCATACAATTTGTTTTATTTAATTTTATAACGTTTCACATAGTTACATACACACAAAATGCATTACACATAACACATAAAATCTAACACACAACACATATTATAACCTTAACTACTATAGTCTACAGTAACATTTCTGTTTTTATCTATCTCAATAATATTATCAAACTCAGCATAAACTATACAGTTAATTGTTTGTATTAATGAGGATTCAAATCGTACTTCTATTCTTACACTACCATGCTTTATGAGATTCCAATGAGTTGATGAGTTAGCTGATAAATCAGGAGTTAAGTCAAATGCTAATAGACAGTAACCTTTGCCATACTGTTCACAAGAGATTCCATTTCCTTCATTAAGAAAGTGAATACCAGTTCCCGAGAATAGAGTATGATATGCTGATGTAAATATGCTATTATTAAAAGATGGTTGCAAAGCTTTTGAAGGTATTTGTTGACCATCAATATATAAGCTGAAAGAATTAATACCATAGTTTTCAAAGTTAAATGGATTTTTAGTAAGGGAACCATTAAATGCAGAATTGTTCACAAATCCAATTATACATCTTTTCGGCACCTGTCCTAAAAATATATTATCAAGAGTTTTTCCTTGAACACCCGAAGGAATTGTTAAAACTTTTACTTCAGCTCGAGTAATAGGATATTTAGCAGTGGTAGAAGCTAAAACTTTTTGATGTGCGAGTAATACACTTGGATTAATTCGTGCTCGTCGAACAATAAGAGTTGCGTCCGTAATACAAACTTTAAACTTTACATCGTTTGATCCAACTATTAAATTAAAACTCTCTCTTGATCGAACCAATTTAACACTCATTTCAACACCATTAATTAAAAATTTATCTTGGTTAAAAATGTCACCGTGAAGATGACCAATCATTTCTATTTCCTTACTTTCACTAATCAATTCCTGTCTTTTAACAAATCCTATGTTTTTACCATCTGTAGAATCCATTTTTCCTGCTGTATCCTCATACCAAAGACTACAAGTAAGATGAGATTGTTTAGCAGCAGGGGCATAGTTTAAAAGGGTTTCCATGTATGCTCGATATGCATAGGTATTATTAGGTGGTGATACAAGTTTTTGGTTTAAATAAACATCAAGTTGACTAAAAAGTGAATGCAGCCAATTATTTACAGGTGCTACTATTGTAGTAGATACCAAGTTAGTTGAATCTTGATTTAATACTTTTGCCTTTATGTGGAGTAATGTATGAGACAAATCTATGTAGTCATCGCCGGTCCCAGGAACTTGAAACTCGATAGGTCCATCATCACCAAGAGATGAAATTGGTTTATAATGAATCCACAATCCATTTTCAATGCTAGTTTGTGTAGACGGTAGTGCAAACAAATCCAATTCTGACTTAACGCACTCACAAGAATGATTATGAAGGAAAGACATATTTAGTTTGAAAATATATCTTTGATATTTTTTGGTTTTAGACAAAGTTTTTTCGCAGCTTTCACTTTAGCAGTTAATGGTGGAATGAACGATGTCAATCGTTTTCTTTTAGTTTTATACCCAGATCCAGTCATGTTAAATTGATCAATTTTCTCATCAGCCTTTCGTTTTAAATTCGTACTAACTTGCTTTAGACGATCTTTTATTGAGGCTTCCATAGGACGGGCTTGAACCATATCCGATAAAAGTCCTACTCCAGCGCTTAATGCCTCCTTACCAATCACTCGAGCACCACTTGAAAGTAAAGGTAAAACTGATCTGAATAACCCCCCTAAGAAGCTCCCAATACCATGACCGCGTTGATATGGTGAACCCTTATAAATTACTCCAACTCCTGATCCAGCTTGATGTGTATAATAATTTTCATATGGACATTTATGATGATCACGAAGAGAATTCATTATTATAATTTTCGGAAATGTAGTTTAATACACACGGTTCCAAACTGGAATGGTATTTTTTGTCCTGTACTCGATCTTATAACTATTTCCAACGTATCGAACTCTCTTCGCATAACAGGTAAGTAGTGAGGTTGAGAGAAAACGTGCATTTTATTTGCACCATAAATGTATTTTGTAGGATCTAATGAAATGACTCTTAATAAAGGAGTCATAACATCACCCACAATCTGAGGATCGATAATGTCGCAATATAGAAATAGTTGAGATGGTAACCCTAAGTGTAAATTAGCAGGACACTTTCCAAAATTTCTCTCTAGGAGATTTTTATTTGGTTCATAACCTAGCTGTAAACTTAATTTGGGTGATAATGTTACGGATGTTATATTTTTATCCAATACCGAAATAGACACAAATTTTGTTATTTCATCATAGCGAAATTTCAAGTTCTCTCCGATACCATTTAACACTCTTAAAATATGCTCAACGTTATCATAGTTGGTAGCTGGAATATGTTTTTTGTAGTACACTGTGGATGGTTTATCTTCATTAGGCATTAACATAGATTTTGTAATGTATATAACATTTTCATGGTCTTGAACAGTAAACATGGTACATGGATATTGAAACTCGACAACTCCAACCGACCATTCACCTTCTAATTTTATAGCTTTTGGTAATTTCGTTGAAAAATTTGTGGTCTTGTTATCAGGAAAGTATTCCATTGAACTATTGCTGAGCAAAGTTAAATAGAAACTTTCTTTATTCATATTTCTTTTGAACTAGAAGCTAAAATCCAACTGTTAAATTTATCTGGATAACCTTTCCACTTCACTAATACTTCTTTTCTGTTACCTGAATAACGAGTGTCAATTATTTTATCTATTTTATGTTGTGAGGTGGGGTTGTAAGTGATTTTCTGTAATTCTCTTTCATAAAAAGTACCAATTATTGGTTCATTTTGTAAATCTGTTATTGTATAAACAACCCATGGAGATCTATCAATTATTGAAGATATAATAAATATTTCATCACTCCAATTTGATTCATATCCTTTTTGGAATACATGTTTATATTTAGTTATTCGAACATAATCACCCACATTGAAATTTGGTTTAGGATTTTCTAAAGAAAGTTTTTTTGACCGTCTGTCATAAAGATTAGTCCAAACTGTCATAATATTATTGGAATTTACATCACATGGGCACATCTTAATACTAGAGTGAAAGCTGTGATTATAAGAGTATATTAAATCTTGTAAAACATCTATATATCTATAAGTATTATTATGAGTGAAATAACGCCACATTTTCATTTTTAGTGTTCTTTGAAATCGTTCAACAATACTGGCCTTAATGTCAGGATTGTTAGTGGTATAGTAATTAATCTTTTTGGATTTAAAGTATTTTTGTACATCTTTTGAAACAAATTCTGTACCTTTATCGGATTGTATGTGAGTAGGTGTTAAATTACTTTCAGTAAATATACTTTCAAAACATTCTTTAGTTGTTTCTGAGTTTTTCTTTTTCATTGGTCTTGCAAAAGCATATTTACTAAATACATCAATAATACAAAGTATATACTTGAAACCATCATTATATTGAGAATAAGTTCGCATATCACTTAAATCAGCTTGCCACAGTTCATTAATATTTGATAGAATGTACCTATTACGCGGGAATTTTTTTCGAATGGGTTTATGTAATGTGTATGTTTCTTGTGATTTTAACCATTCCTTTACTTGCTTTTTATTCATTTTACCCTTCATGGCTTTTGATAATTTATCAATACTACCAAAACCAGCGGGATTAGATGGATCATAATAAATCCTGTTAATTTCTTCTAGTACGGAGTCCATTTTTCCCACTCAAGTCCTTTACGTATTTTAGTTGTAGACTTTTTATCTCTACTGCACGGTGTAGAAAACTCTTGAACTTCAATCTCAGAGGGTTTGTTCAGATCTTTTGCTTGAAGTTGGTTAATAAACTCACATCTCCTTGGATTTCCAATATAAGTAAGTGGTACTTTAATATCTTTTAATGCTTCAGCAAATCTAACCCACCCTACCGGATCACTTCTTTTTAGGGGTCTTAGTGAATCATTTATTAAATCAATATTACTTCCAGGAATTTTTTCACTATCAATTATGACTGTACCTTCGTTATCCCAATGTATTTTACTTTTACTTGTTTCAACTAAGTTTAATAATAACTGCCCTTTTTTATGATAAGTTTTTGGTATTAAACTGAGTATTTGAGCTGGTGTGTAAAGTGGATTTTCATCATTTTCTTTACTTTTAATGGATCGATTCTCCTCCAGCAAAGATTCAATATCAACTGAAGTTTTTAGATCTCTATCTTTATTTTTAAAACCAATTTTTGACTCATTTGAATCTTCATTAGATGTATCAGAATAAATTGGTAATTTGAGTGGTTGACGATCCTCTTCGGTAAAATGAAGGTATATTTGCAGTGTTTGTAAATATAATATCCATTTCTTTCGGTCTTCCGTCTTACTATTCATAATATTTTGCATTTCAATATCTAATCGAGATAAATTACTATTAACCTTATTTTCTTGTTTTAATTTTTCAATCAATCCAGGTTCGATAAGTATCATTTTCTTTGCATTTTCCATGTTAACTGGCTAGTCCACTCACTAATCCTATATTGCACCTAATATTGTTGGTAAGAAAGCCCCTCCTTTTTGTATAATTATATTTTTTCTTAGTTTATGTTTACACTTACGTACTAGTTTACGGAGTATGTTTTATGTTTATTCAATTTTTGTTTATCCTGATCTTTAAGAGGTACTTTTCCTTGTAAAACATTATGAATACACTCACAAATACAGTTAATTTCTTCTTCATCACACGTTTTAAGTAATGCTCTTTGATATTTTGGTTTAAGCGTATGCAAAGCGGTTAGCAAATGTTTATACGTTGTGAGTCGACGATGCATCATTTAGCAATGATTTCAATTGTTTGATTCTTGGTGTATTTAAACTCTTTTGTGGGGACGTAGACTGTACAGAAACCATTAAATGGAAAGACATTTGTCTTGATACGACAAAAATCATTGGTATTCTGTTTTAAATCTACCATTAAATATCCATGTGCCTCTAGAGTTGCATCCCTGTAGGCATTTTCAATGAATTTTGGGTTATCTGGTGATACTTGTCTTGCTAAATATCTTATTTGAGTTTTATCTCGAGGGTTTTTAAAATATATTATATAACTTGAGTTTAAAGATATGTCTCTTTGTCCTTTACCCTGATGAAATAAATTTTGTGTTAGATAAAATACACTAAGATTCCTGTGATGACTACCTTTTGTAAATATATCCACAATTCTTCCATCGGACTCTCTCATTAGATCATCAATAATAACAAGATGTGGGTTTTCACCATCAAACATATTAAGATTTGGAATTCCTTGATGATAGTTAACATTTGGTAAATTATATAATGGTTGCATTTCATCAAAGCACCATGTGATCTGATTAAAATCACAATTACATATTTCTGTAACTGATTTTATGAAATTTGTTACAAAATTTGACTTCCCACACCCACTTGGTCCTGCCACAATAGCAGTGAACGGATGGATAAAGTGAAACATAACACACGTCTAAAGTTCAAAGGGGTGAAATAAAAAATGAAAGTGTTGGTGTAAACAATTAATATATATTCCAAAAATTATATAAAACAGAATTATCTGTATACTATTTCTAACACAATTAGTACATCATAATTTTACAATTAACTCAACCTCAAATAAATAGAAACAACAATTAGTACATCATAATTTTACAATTAACTCAACCTCAAATAAATAGAAACAACAATTAACTTAAATTATTTACAATAAAACAATGATTAAATATGTAATAAACTACGTCATATTATAGTATTATCATAATTTTACAATCAATATAAATTTTTCTTAAACGCAGACATAAAAGTAAAAACTATCAACACTTAACGCAGTTTATAATGACCCCAAGCTAATGTTTCAATATTATTATCTAAAATATGTCTCTTTGTGTCATTATATGATAAACCTATCTTATTTAATTTTTGTGTGAAAATTGTGTGTTTAATTGATTTAAATCTAAGCATACTATAATATTGCACTTTTTTTTATTAAATAGAGAAGACTTATAACTATTCATTGTCATCTTTTTAGTGATACATTTATTTACCCCTTTTGCCTTGACTATAGTCTTATTCTCTAAGTTAAAAGCGTACATTTTGGATCGTAAACCCACAAATTCTTTCATGATTTTACCATTATTTTCATCTTTAAAAAAACCTAATTTCTTTTTATTTAATTTTGGATATTCAAAAATATTATTTGTATCATAATCTGAGGTATCAAAGTATGATGAAAGGTCAGGTTTTATATCAGTGTAAAAATCATTTGTAAATATATGATATATTAAACTATCCGTATCTGTATACAATAATTTGATTTTACTAAACTTTTTAATCATATAGTTATAATGAAAATCATACATTAATGTTTTTGAAATATCTAAAATG